AGCAAAAGCAGATGTCTCTAAGTGCTTCAAGGAGCTTCAAGTTTGACTCAGCCATGCCTGTATTGCCAACATACAGCTTTCCAGAAGGTTAGAAGGAAAGTTAAAAATATATTTAATACATAATTCTGCAGCAACAGCAGACAAATTTTATGATTTAGGCTGTTCCTTCTGTTGGTATCCTTGCAAAAGCTTAGGCTGGTTGCTAGGCAACTGACATAAAAAAAAAGTACATTTCTCTTTGTATTGCAGGCAGGAACCTTGGGAGCAGCAGAGGCCTCGGATGGCTCCTTAAATAGCATTGCTGGGGAATGAAAGTTAAAATATTGAACATTCATTGGTTAAAGATCCTGTTACAAAGGTCAGCTATCTTGGGGATATTCAATAGTTTGGTTTCCTTTGGTGCAAAGGAAAGATTAGAAGGGAGTTTGTCTGTGTGCTGTAGATAGTACAAAAATGGAAATTTCCTAAGATGCCTGACTGTTGAGCAGAATACCTAGGTGGGCTCTATAATTGCCTTCAGGCTTAACTCTCTTTTCTTGACAGAAAGTGTGAAGTGAGGTGTTTGTCACATTAGCAAGTACAAATGTATGCTTATAGATCTTAGAATGTAAGAGGTGCTTTTAAGAGGGAGTATTTGAAGCTGCTTAACTCCAGTGCTCTAATTTGATAAACACAAGGTAAAAGAAAAGGGATGGAATCAGTTCCTGTGTTAAGAGAAGTAAATGTCTTAGGGGAATAATGTTCTTGCTGAGATTCACAGAAATCTCTAAATTCCGTGAAAGCTAACAGCAAAACTACTGATTGCAGAGTTCTCAATTGCTTGCTCATTCTGTCATCTTTCTATGTCATTTCAAGGTCATTTATATCTAAATGGCTGTGAATCCCAGGACACAGGGAATAATAATTCTTGCATTGGGATGAAATATTTCCTCCACTTCCCCACAATCCCTTTGAAATAGTGCAGTTTTTAGACAGGATGATGCAAGAAATACAGCAGCACTAGTTGTAGAAATTCATTTGTGTACTAAACTGCCAGGTAAATTGAGGAGGCTGTCTACCAACCCACCATCTTGAGGAACATTTTTTTTTCTGGCTGAAAAGTAGCAAAGAAGCAAAAAACTAGGGAGGTTTATGGAACCTGTGCAAGAGAAGAGCAACTGTTCATGGCATGTCACAAGTCTGTCAGGCATTATTTACTGTCTGGAAATTATTCTTCCTTTTATTATATCTGTGTTTTCTTTATCTTCTAAATATTAAATGGCTCTCTTATTTCCTTCTCTGGTTGCTTTGGAATGGTGAGAGAGCAAAGGAGGGGAAAGAATGGGAATTGTGTTGGAGTAACCCAGAAAAACCATTTGGGCAGTATCTATGGATTTACCATAACTGATGGCAAATTCTCTCAAGCCATTTGGAAAAGAAAGAAGGAAGATGAACTGTAGGATGCTCTTGGTTCACTTCTGCTCGTGTGCAACCATCTTTGAGGAGTATGCCTCCATGCTTCATTATTGAATTAGTAAATAGGGAGTGGGAGTTGTGTTCTGTGTTTAGATAGTTATTTTTCTTTACATTTTACTCCCTTATAGGATTGAAAACCGTGACTGCCATAATTATGCAAGGGGAGAGTTGTCCTCTCCATCCTTCTCCTTCTCCAATAGCTTCCTTGTGATTCCTTGCTCTAGATGAGAGGCCAAATGAGACCTAGCTTTCTCAAGTCCTAGGGAACTGATTCTAGTGCAGTCATTATAAGCCAGCAATTAGCAAGTTAAATAGAAACGCCATAAATCTTGGTTTGAATCATTATGTGAGCCCCTCTGAAGCTCAGAATCATGAGTGGGAAGCATGTGCTCACTTGGAATTCAATTTCTGCTCTTCTCAAAACATGTCTCACCAATAAATCAAATTATTATTGCCTTGCAGTGAATCTCACAAACAATGCACTTGGCTGCCTGGTCCACCCACACTAAGTGAAAGAATATGTACATTTTAATTACCAGATTATTTCAATGTTGCACAAACACTGTTTCATATTAAATATTTTTACAAACCAATGATATTCAATAATGAATGCTTGATATTTTTTCCCTGGCTATTAATGTCTGTAATTAGTATCTTTAAGAAACCTTGATATTACATGTCATGCCAGTCTCCTCTAAGTAAGGTCACTGTGGGAGTGGGATATTATTTCTCTTGTCATTCCTTGACTAATGTTTTCATCATCTGTATAAAATATCTGCTGAGTAAATTTTTCAAGGTGAAATTATATAATATCTCTTGAATTTTTAAAATGCAGCTGGGGAGAAAGGCGTCATGTCACCCTGTTTCCAAAACCACTTCTGCTCCATATGTTTAGCTGCAAATTTTATAAACTTCTTTAAAATGACATAACTTTGTAAATGTTTTAGGAGCAGTGCAGAAACTGTGCCTCTTGCTCTGTAAATCCATGTTCAGAAGCTCTCGAGTGCATATGTAATGAAGTGACTTGACACCTGGGGTGTTTGGGTACAGGCACAAGGTGGGGCCTTCTCCTGTGCAGCACTCAGTAGTCACTGCTTTGGAGTGGCCTCCTGAACAGGCCTGGGGCAGGACAGACATGGCAAGGGCTCTGTGGTGTGAGGTGTTGGAAGCTGTGGTGTTGCCTTGTCCTGCAGACAGGGAGGGAGCAGAGTTCAAGAGGAACTGGCAAGGAACGCGTTGTGTCACTTCTCTTCTGGTGTAGGTCCTGCAGCTGTGGCCCAAATTAGGACAGGCTGTCACTGCTTTGGTTTGTGTTAGTGCTGGTTGTGCTGATCCACAGGAGAGCAGGCACCAGCTCTCAGGTGCCTCCTGCTTTCCCTGCAGCTGCAGTGCTGGTGGGGAGCTGAGAAATGACCACTGGGTTGAGCTTGTGTCTGTTTTTGCAAGCATTGGCTCTGGACAGTGTATGGCCTTTTACATACCTGGCCTTTGCAGTTCACTTTTGCATGGTGAGATGACAAGGGTTGGTGGGGTTCAGCTGCAGATACACTGGCTGTCACAGTGCATATTGTCCTGCTGTCACATTTATTTATTTTCTGGAAACACCTGTGGGGCTGGAATACCGGTAGGAGGGCAAGAAGATGATATCTGGCCTAGGTCCCTTATGGGGTTATGCTTGGATTTCCGGCACATCCATCATGCTGCTGGGAATACCAGGTGCTTTCAGTGCATTTTGTGTGAGAGAGGAATAAGATGCCACTAAAACCTGGGACACCACTTGTTCTGAACAAATAGGTGTCAGGGAGGTTCATTCTGAGGGATGCTAGTCACCTCATGGCAACAGAGCACAGCAGTGTGTGTGTTCCTGTACCTCAGGGTTGAATTACACATCTTTGTTTCTCAGAGGGATGAAGTAATGGTTCAAGCTCTAGGACAAAGTTTATTGATTTCCATCCTTGGTCTGAGACAAGCTTCCTTCTGGCTTTAGGCAAATTGTGCATTTTGAATTTTAAATTAGCAAATGCTTCCTCACTTTTAGTGATCATGCCTGATGCTCTACATAAGTGGGAGCAACCTGAAGAATATAGGGTGTGCTGCTGCTCTTGTTCAGACCACAAGTTGGGAACCCAAACTTTTCAAGCAGGAGGATTTGCTCCCTGCTGCATTGGTTATGGAACCCCTCTTTGCCTTAAGGTGGGCATGGCTTTCCATTTTTCCAGGTTCCCTTCCAAGCAAATTCCTAATCAAGCTTTTTAATTCAGTAGCAAGAAGCGGACCTTCAATCTGTGGAGGAAGGAGCTGGCAGGTGCAGCCCACTTTGATGTGGGTGGCAGAGGGGAAAGTGCTGATGGACAGTGGGAATGTGAAGCTGTGGTGTTACTACAGGGGATTGCAGCCATCAGCAGACTATGTGTGGATTGGAGTTCTGGTAGGGAGACGCCTGGGAGTCAGGAGGAGATGCCCAGGACCTGATGGGAATAGCAGATTGTTGGGCTTTGCAGGCTTCTGTTGCTGCTCTTCTGTAATATAGAAAGGCCATGACTATTTAACATGCTTCTGAGCAGGAACATTGTGTCTTGGGACTGTGTGGAAGACTTTGGGAGGAAACAGGCATACAAGGAGAAATTCCAAGATACCCCTTGAGCTTAAGCATGAGAAAATTTGGATTAGGGTGAGTAGTGGGAAAGGTTTAAACTGTGGTTTGGGTGAAATGGGCTGGGAGTCTCTGGTAGGGCAACTCCTGTCATCTTTTTACTGTCTGAGGTGGCCTTCTCATCACTGCCTCAGACCAGAGCTTTCTTCATTCCCCTTTAAAGCATCTGACATGTGGCAGCCTTGAATGTGTGCTGTAAAACACAATGTTTTCGGAGCACATCAGATCCAAAGGGCTTTGCAAGTGCTAATCTTGGAAAACATCCTCATTAATGGTAACCTAACACCAGAAAGACAGCAAGAGCTTTATGGACTTTCTTTCTGACATGTCCTTGGGCCACCCAGTGAACAGTGTATTGATTTGCATCCACCCTTTGTATGGTGGGGTCCCAGTTGCTTTCTTGTATGTTCTGGAACTGGAGAAGACACAAAACAACCTACTGAGCAGATTCCTTTAGCTGAACAAACCTCTCTGAGTGAAACTGGCCTAAAATATGAATGTACTGGAGGATAAGCTCTTTATGATCTCTTCTGGCTTACTGGAAGATGATTATATGCAAGGAAAACTACAGCAGAATTCTTGTGTATTGGGAGGGCAGAGTTAAAATAACCAGTGCATTGATAGCTAAGAAAACTGTTTCTTGTGAAGTGCACAGACAGGGCTGCCTCTTTGGCATGTTTCCTCTGAGCGTGGGAAGAGTGTGTTTGTGTGCGTGTGTGTACACATGTCTGCGTGTGGAGGTGGGAATAAAGTTGCTGACTTGTTGCTGACATGGGATTCTTTTCTCTCCAGCACTTCTTTGTACATGTCACTGCAATATTCTGCATGGACTCTCAAGAGCATTGTCTAATCAGCCTTTTTTGTTTCCTCCTCCTCTCTCCCACTCCCCCAGTCGGCGTATGCCGTGTCGGTGCTCAAAGAGTGTGCTAAACTGCGACCTACAGATCCCACCGTTCCTCTGCTGGCTGCCAAGGTCTGCATTGGGTCACTGCACTGGGTAAGCAAGCTGATGCAATTCTTATTATGTAACGGATTAGGTGCTGCAGTCACAGTGCCACAGTGTAGTTGCAGTGGGGAGAAAGGGAATCCCTGCTAAAATCATACACACATGTGTGCCCTTTATAAAAAATGAAAATCCCTGCAAGAAATTTTGTAGTGAGTCATTAAAATGTATTTTACTGGCATATTGAAGAAAGGAGGTGGGGAGAAAGCCATAACAGCCATTCTGAGGACTGCTGCTTCAACTGTGTGTCACATTGAATCAGCCACTCTTGTAGCCCCTGCAGGACACAAGTTCATAGTTATAAGTGGACTGTTAGATAGTTCAGGTCTGCTGGACAACTCAGTCCTTTGTTCTTGAAGTTGCTGTGTCAATGTTTTGTGTTCTGGATGTGTTAATGTACACCCCAGAAGCAGAGTGGGAGTGGAAGTTGTGCCCGTGAAATTCTGATTATCCAAAGGAGCAGAAACATCTGTCATTCTTTCTCTACTTGGTTTAATTAACTGAATGGTAGCCTGCTGTTCTCACCTGTCCTCACCACGAGGTGTCCCTGCAGTCAGTGAAGGATTACAATTGCTGAACAGAAGTAAAACAAGATGCAAGAAAACATGAAAGAAAATACCAGAATAATCTGCACAGATCTTGGAGAAAAGTTGTAGAAGCCAATTTGCTGTTGTTTTGTTCCCTTACCCTGCCTCCCCACCTTCTACATCCCTGATGAAAGCTGCTGTTGAGCTAAACTTGAGGTGTATCAGTTTACACCACCATCAGGGAGGGTGTCTGGTTGTGTATGTTTTTGAATAAACTACACTGTTCAGATTATAATGGTTAAGCTTATATGTGAGTCAGAAAAAGCTGGGCAGCATCTTTTTCTAGGAAAAATCTTCAAGTCTGAGGACCTTCAGGCAATTCTTGCTGAACTGCCCAACCTACTTCTGCTCTACATTTGGAGCAATTTAACTCTTGTACCCACCACTCAGTCTCTCAATTTTGAAGGCTGAAAGTCATTCAGTGATATATAAAAAGATTCACAGTGAATGTTATTTTTTAAAATAAAGTAAATAAGGTTTTTTTTATTCTCAGAGGTGTTGAAACAGTGTGAAAGTGAGGCATTACAGCTGTATTGAATGCTGTTCTTAGTATGTCTGATGAAGATTTCAATGCACAGCTAGCATATAAAAATACCTCGTTACTTTGAAAAGACAATGAGACACTAATTCAATTCCAGCTTGGGCAATCCAGTATGTCCAGACTTCTCATACATGACAGAGCTGATAAAATGACTGGCTAACCCTAAAAAGTAGCAAAGGCAAGGGAAGAAGGGAACATGAGCTGGTTTTGATTATTTCAAAGCAAGAGGGTTTTTTTCTTCAATGTACTGCTTTTTTATTGTGTGAAATGCTTTTCAGTGTTATTCAAACAGACCCTGGCTCAAAACTGGGGGTATTATGAAATAAAATCACGATTTCACAAGAGGGCAATTTTAGTGCAGTTATCTAGAGCACAGCCTTATGAACTAAAACCAAATTAAAAATATTCCCTCTCCCATTCCTTTCAGTCAGTGGCCTATGCTTTACCCTCGTAACAAACTTGATGATGGTATAGAAGGGTTTTAATTAAGGGGAGTCTGAGGGAAATGAGATCATCTTTTAAAAGAACTGAAATGATAGGTTCCCACATCTCTTAGTCAAAGGGGTGCTTTTGATATTACTGCCAGACTCCTGTGCCTAATAAAGACCTTCCTGCTTAGCAGAGCTGTTTTTCTAAATGTCATCCTTACAGTAATTATTTGCATTTAAATTACATGGCAATCAAATCAGAATTGAATAATTTAAACTGGAAGTTAACAGGCTGATCAATGCCAGTATAAATAGAAAGGAAGATAGACATGGGACAGGAACAGTCTAATGGACAAATATTAGCAGTTACAAATATTCAAATACATCTTCTTTTTCAGAACATATAAAATATGATTAATTTTTCAATTAAGAAATATATCTGTGTACTTGATTGCTGGCTAGGCAGGAAAAGGGTGAAATCAGATCACCATTTATCCGAATGAAACAGCTAATTTATATCCTGCATCTGTCTACTGTGTGGTGCAGTATTTTAGCCAGTTTGTTTATAGCCCATGGGCAAGCAGTACTTTAGTCTTCTTTCAGCTACTAGCAATTAAAAAAAACAACCCAAAATACAACATTTATGCAGATGGATAATTACAGAATGTCATGAGAAGCACAGAACAGTTTCTTTCGTGATTAATCTAGTGATCACTGAAGTCATTTTGCTGGCTTTGTACATGGTGTGTCAGAACACTTTAAGAGCAGGGAAAACAGAAAATTAATTGAAATATACTATAATGATTTACAACATTGAGGATGCTCTGGTCACATCTATGAAATAATCTCTCAGTGCAGAACAAATCAAAGTGAAAACGTGGATGCATTCATACAGTGCCATGCAAATCAATATGTAGCAGAGCCTGATGCAGAAAAGAGCTGAGCCTCCCCCAGCTTCTGTTGTGGCAGTATGACTAGATCATTAACTGATCTAAGTTGGCAGTACTCTGCTGGCATGTTAGGGGTACCCTGCTGGCTTACATCAGATGATCTGCCCCATCAACTGCTAGCTTCTTGGATTGGGCCTGCAGTAAGCAACTGAGTGGCATAAGCACTGCTTTGGGTCCCTTTTTCAGAATTAGAGGTCATTAAAAAAAATCCACTGTAAACAATAAATCAGTACTTCATTAATTCTAAAGCTTAAGCCAGTAGACTTGGAGGACCAGAAAAGCTTCAAAATGAATGCACATATGTAAACCACATTTGTATGGTCAGGATGCAGTCAAACCTGTCCAGCAAAGTTGGAACTTCTGTATTGTATCTAAACTATTACACAGGTGTTTTAAATGTTTTTGTAGTAGGCTCAGAATTACTTTTGAGGTAACATGCTGCTAATCCTTCCAGCTTGCTGGGGTTTCAGCACAGCAGTTTGCTGGACTTGCACATGGATGATTCTATCAAGCAAACACAAAGCCCATTTGTGTTTAGCCAGCTGTCTTTTAGCTTTCCAGAATGCACTGTGAAGTCTTTGACTATTGTAGGTCAGAGTATTGTTTTAAATTTCCATAGAAAAGTTGAGATAGCTTGCACTGGAACATGTCCATACTGAGGTTGCTTTGCCTTGCTCCCCTATAAATTCAGAGTTCTGCTCACTAAAAGGCTTTCTGCAATTTCCTCTTTCACTCAGCCTTCCCTGGCATGGTCTCAGCTGAATGCTCACTTGCCTATTTTGGCAATGACTTTGAGTTGCAGTATGAGTTGTTGTTTTTAATATTTTAATAGTACAGTTCTGTTAATTTCACTACTAATCTAGGTTCTCCAGGATGCTGTTATGGCGGGTATTGTTAAAATACTAAAAATGGAACTTCTTCCTAGAGACAAGCATTAAATACTGAATTTCTCCATTTTTGGGAGCCACATTTGAGGTGTTTAGGGTTACCCTGGTGCTTTCTTTTGCCTTTTACTCAATTGATATCAATGGAGGCATGTTGAAAATATTGTAAACGCACAGAGCAAAATGGACTGTAGTCCTAGGATAGGCTTGACTCCTCTAGAACTCTGCTGTGACAAAAAGCAGGAAGACATGAGGCCATGTCTATGATTTTAATTGCTCTACAGTTGATATAATAGCAATAGTGGTGGTGTGCTAAACTTGTGTAGCATCAAATGATGCCTGTATTATCAGCTAATACAAGCTTTTCAAAGGACTTTGTCCCATGGCAAAAGCTGCAGTACAGGATGGTGCTGTACCTCATATTTCCCTCATTTCTTTGAACTAGTGTGCACAGCCAAGTGCTCTACTGCAGCACTTTGCTGGGAAGGCAGAGATCATGCCGTCAGTCAGGGAAAGGGAGAAGAAGTGGTGTTGGGCCAGGGCAGACTGCGCATGGAGTCATAAAAACTGAGTGGGACATGCCATGAGGTCAGGACATCATGGTGTGTGTGTGTCAGGGGGGTTGGCAGGATGTAGATTTAGAGCTGCATACTCCTGAGGTAACAGCTTACCATTCATTACTTTCACAGAGCACTTAATCAGAGGGTGCTTCTCTCCCCTTCTGTCTGTTGTTGACCCTGCCACTATAGATAATAAATGCTATGCATGTGCTGGTACCCAGTCACTTAGGAGCCCTGGAGTCACCTGGAAATGCTTAGGTCATAGTGCAGTATGAATAATATTAAAAGATGAAATCTAGTCCCATTACTGGAGTTACTCTGCCTGCTGACAGACATCTGAGAGGATCAGCATCACCAGAGTGAGAGGCTGCTGAGAAAGCAGGGAAGGGCAAGGAGCTGCTAAGTATTTCTTCTGTCTTTTAAAAGACATTCTTGATTACATCACCACTGCTGTTCTGGGGCAATCCCATGGGTTTTAGACATTAAAAATGACCAATAATTTTGTCTTCAATACATTGCCTTTGTGAGCAAACCACTTTAGCTACAGTGGAGGAAAGGCCTGAGTATTCCTAAGTGCTGGGGGCTGAGTTTACACAGACTAAATTGGTGGGCTTAACAATGGTGATACAGAGAGCAAATGCTGACTAGACCAGCAATAGAAAGCACAGGATTTTTTTTTCTGACATACATAACATGATTGGCTTTGTGTGCTGTAAACAGCTGTGGGACAAAACCTTTTCATTAGACTATGCCTTATGGAGCACTTTCTTCCTATGCATTTTCCTTCTTTTCTTTCTCATTTCACTATATTTATATTCTTCTCTTTGAATTAGTCTCTATAGCTACAACCCAGTGTAATTAAAATGCTAAGAGGTCAATTTAACTAGTTAACATCATGTGTAATTCTGTATACATACCCATTCTGTAGGATTTTGATCTGTTAAGTGCTTGGGTATTGTTCAGTGTCATGGGTGTCCAAATTCACCTGCTTCATTAACCTTGTCTGCTGTCCTCAGTCCAGTGTCATTTGATGCATTCCCTACCTCTTCCTTAGTGTGCTCCTCCTTTTTGGCACATTAAAATGCTGTTTTCATCCTGCTGTACATCACTGATTTGTTTGTGCTTAGTTACTCTAAATGTGTGCTGGTGAGAAGTGCAATTTTTCCTTAGTCCTGCAAGCTGTTGATTCAGTGGGGTAGGGCTTGAGCTTTTCTAAAAACAATCTGGGTGGCAGTTGGACACCAGCTGGGTGGCATTAGGCCAGGGGACAGCACCTGCTGTTCTCCACTCCCTTGTCAGTATGCCTCCAGGCTTGGCTTGAGCACACACCAAAACCTGTGGCCAAATAACAGTGGTGGCTGGAACAGCCATTCTCTGTACCAGGGGAAACATCCCTCGGGGTAGCACAGCTAGCAACTGTTCTTTTTCTTTCAAATATGAAGGAGGAAGTGAAAGGGGAAAAAAAGCCCAACCAGCCCCAGAGCATTACCATCTCATTGGTGTCAGTTCACAGTTTGGCAGCTTGTCTCTCTCCAGGTGCCAGGTGTTTGCTTTCTGGTGTGATAGAGGGGTTGCTTAGCTAGTGGTTCCAGGTGCCTCCTGACACTTTATATAGCTGGAGTTTAAAATGCAGAAAGTTCTTCTTAGGTTGTTTTTCCCCCATGTTGTCTTTCTTCCAGGCAAGTTTTGGAGGCAGGGAGCTTCTCCCTGCAGCCTGGAATGCTGCCTTTCTCTCCACCAGCTTTTCAGTGCAAAGTATGTAGAAAAGTGTTAGAACAGTAAGGACCAGATTGGAGGGAGGGCTTTGAGACTTCGTTTTTTGTTGCTTCTAAGAGAATAACATGGTAGGCCTTCCCTCCTCCCTTTCTCCTCTCCACAATACAGACTGAAGGCACCCCATATCTGTAAGGACCCACCAGACACAGCTTTACTGGCAGATCACAGCTCAGGCTCACTGCTGGTCCCTCATTGGGTGCATGGAGAGGTAACTTTTATCCAGACTGCAGTCTGGTGGTCCTTACAGTTTAGCTGGTTACCCCAAATGTGTCCCAAGGGGGTTGTTCCTGTTTCAGGTAGTACTTTCCAGATTCACAGTTGACTAGGCCATCTGCAAGATTGATGCACTGGAGAGTTGAAACATCACAGTGGCTGATGCGAGTGAAAGGTTTGGTTTTTCACACTTGCCCAGAATGACTGAAGAGTAGGAGAATGGAAGAAGAGGGGGCAGATGGCTGCCACAGCAGGGCTGGCAGGGAGAAGTGTCTGAGTGCTGTAAGAAGGAAAAGTAAATGTTCTCATAAACAGAACCAGCTGTGCTGGAGTTTGTGAGGCCACTTATTTTCAAAGCAGACTTCAGCTGACCCAGGTTTGCATTCATAAGAATCTTTGTGGCTGGTCAAAATGCCATTGGTGTTTAGTGTGAATAAATGTTCACAAGAATGTGCTAGAAGTGCTGTTTCAGCCACTCTGAAAAGTTATGGTTTTAATTATTCATTCATTAGATTAATCTGATACTGACAGGTGGCCCTGGGTAACTGGCAGGCAGGAAGGCTGAATGGTGCACTACTGATTTGTGCAGTATAGGTATTTCCAGTCAGAAACTGGAATTACCATCAGGTGACCATTCAGAGAAACAATGGAACAAAATCTCTCCAATTTTCCATGTCTTCATTTCAGCTTCAAACTTTTCATTCATTTTTTCCATACACTCTACCCCTTCTCTTGTTCACTAGTCATTTGAATACCTTGTAGAGCTCTTTTCTTCATCTAATGGACACTTCTTGGATGAAAGTGTGTGTGGGGAGAAGAGGAGAAACAATAAAGAATGAGAGTGAGAATATAGCTGTTTATGGTGGCAAAGAGGTGCATAATGAATTTTCAAGCTGCAGAGATTTCATGTCTTACGTAAAAGTTTCTGAGAGATGAAGAATTCAGTTATAATATGGGAGGGGTTTTTGTTGTTCATTTGTGGGTTTTGTTTTTTTGGTGTTTTTTTTTATGTGGCAAGTCATGGCCCATTTCTTCATTGTCCTAGGCTCTGGTCCAGGACACATTTCAGTATGTGGCAGGAAGCTGCTAGGGCTACTGACAGGTTAAGAAATCTGGAATAAATCTCAGTCTTCCTGATGTGATCAGAGTTTAAGGGTTTTATCTCAACATTGTTGAAGTAGGTGGGACTATTCCCAGTGGTTTTGGTAAGCTTTGGATTACACCCTCAAAGACAGGCCTTGCAGTTTAGTTGGTGAGTTCCAATATTCCTCAAGAGGTGTTCCTGTGTCAGTTAGTGGCTTCCACAGTCACAGCTGATGGGGCAATGAGGAGCACTAATGCTTTCAGGAAAGCGTTTGATGGCAACATATGTGTTGGTTGTTGGACTGACTGATCTGAGGCTTCAGAAATTGGGGAATAATTGGTCTACCTCTAGTTTGAATCCTGTGGCCTCAGGGAATTGCACCAGTGGGAAGAAATTCAAGCAGTGGAGATTTGCTTCTTCACTTGCAGTTTTCAGCCTTTCTTCAGGTTTATGTTAAAAGTAATTTTCTTCTAATGTTTGATATCATCTAATAAATCCAGGTGGTTTGTTTATGAAGCCATTAGTTAATGTTGTCACCTGAATGTTTTCAAGTGATGGGATTAGGAGGCTCATTGACAGGATGCTACACATCAAGTCAAGTAGATTTTCTTCATAGGTAGTGTATTAACAGATCACTGCAGAAGGCAAATTTCTTGTCTGATGGTGCATTTTAATTCCAGGTTGTTATGAGTGAGTCATTTTAGATGTTAAGGAGCCATGAGGTGCTGAAGTCTGACAATGCTGAGTATAAAGAGGGCACACATCCACAGTACTTGTGTCTAAACTAGGTGGATTTCCAACAAAAAAGTACTTCCTCAAAATTAAACAACCCCATCCTATAAAGTCAGTTGTGATGTAATTAAAGTTTCCAAAGGGAGGATTTGTCAGAGAGTGTAATGGTGTCTGCTTCTTGATTAGGGATGACTCTGATTATGGGTGACAGGATCTGCATACTGTCTTGTACAGAAATGAGATCTTCCTGTAGGCTCTGTCTTTCAGGCATTACTTACAAGTTTTGCCAGTGTCTCTCCAACCTACACCTTTCAATGTATATACAGTGTACAGGTCTTTGTCTTTTCTACTTAAAATGGGTGAGTGATATTAATAAGAGTTTAAAGTTAGAAATGAGAAACACTCCATTCTATAATAATATTTAACTTATTCTTTTTATTTAAAATTGCCAGTAGCTCGGATTTTACAGATGCTGATAGATATGTGTTGAAAGGAAGGCTGTGGAGAGCAGTCTGTGATGTGGTGGAAGAGACCAGCTTACATTTTTCATCACTTCGGAGGCTGATCCTGAGAGATTGTGACTCCTCTCTCCTCCAATCTCTATCTATAATATAAAATGCATTTTCAAGGAAATTGTGTCTTTACAAAAGATGCAGAAAGTGGTTAGTGCAGCCAGAGCTGCCAAGGTAGTGTGTTAGTTCAGATTAAAATTTGTGTTCTGAAATTTCTGCGTCCTTTTGGCAACAGAATTTCAAGCAGCAACTGAGAGCTTTCAGTGAAGTTTGTGGTTTCTTGTTTTATTCTAATGTTTGAAAAGGCAGTAAAATTTGTTAAGGTTTAAAAAAATCAGACAGCAAAACTGAATGGTTTTCTTTTGAAGGAAGAAACCTGTTAGACCTTTCATTGCCGTACTAGGATATCATATATGTAGTCCAGCTGATCCAGTGTTTGCATTTTAGGCTGCATGATTGAAGTGTGCCTGAAGGAAGCTATAAAATAAGATCATATCCCTGATTAATCTTAAATATCTGGAAACAGTTTGGGGTGCAAACCCCAAACTTTTCTTAAAACTGTGCATGTGCACCAAGGTCTGCTCATCTGACCTTCTACATTCTCCTTTTTATGAGTGTTCACTGGGATCACTGAAAGCCCTTGTGTGAATGGCTCACAGATCACTTGCAGGTAAGGCTAATGGTGAATTTTATTGGAATAAATATAGAGGAAATGCCTATAAGTCTCAACCTGCCTCTTTTGCAGCTGGAAGAAGGAGAACACTTTGCTAAAATGGTGATAGACCTGGGTGAGGATGCTGGAGAGTCCCTGGCAAAGGGTTACCTGGCACTGGGCCTGACATACAGTCTTCAGGCTACTGATGGTGAGTTACTTCTTTGTCAAGTGTGTTACATGGAGAGCATTTGCTCCAAGTCCTCAGTGCAAGCAATTGGAATTTATTAGAAAATCTGCCTTCAGTGCTGACTAGACATTGAAAAGCAATCAGATCACAAGATAAATGGGAATTGTTCACATGCTCAGAGAGCTTCTTCTGTGGTAATAAAAGTAAAGTTATTAGGTAAAGGGAAAAATGCAGGTCATTACTTAGGGGGTGATTATCTGAGTGTAGGTGACAGTGCTTGGTGTGTTTTACTTGAATATTTGTAATACATTTTTTTCACTTAATTTACACAACAAAAAGTCAAACTTTCCATCTGTTTTCATATTTTTGTCACCCACTCATAAATCATAAAGAAATACAATCCAAGAACTGGAGTCAGAAATGCCTCACTTCAGTTCCTGGCATGATACTGATTCCCCACAGAGATTCAACCTCTCTGTGATGTAGTTTCTTTTACTTAGAAGTAAACAAGATAAAAATATCTACCTCACTGGTACATGTGGATGTTGACTAGAAACAGACCACTGAATGTAAGAAGTATTTTATTTTAATGCTGCTTACTTGGATCTTGAATGAGTGGACAAGAGGCTCCTGCAGATTTGGTGCTTTGTAGTTAGAAGGGCTTGAAGTGTTTGGGAGAGTTCTAGCTCTGACCTTCATCAAGCTCACAGGTGGGAACAGTCTTTGTTTATTCTGTGACTTCTAACATGGGTAGGAGATATGTTCTAACACATTTCCTTTGAATAATGGCTAAGCTGGTTTGTTTCCTAATGATTTTGGCGGTCGTACCCTCATGCAAGCAATGGCTTTTCTCTCATGAGGTTCCACAGAAACAAACCAACTTCTTCAAAGTTGATTCAGCAAAGAAGCCTGAATCAAAGCTAAAATTACTCTATCATGCTATCATGGAATATGCAAGCCTTGCAACTTACACCAGAATTCTGCAAGGCATGTGTCTGAGAAAGTGTTCTTGTGCTCCTCAGTAGTGCAAGCTGGTGTAGTTTTTCAGCCAGCCATATCTGATCAGCTGTTCTGAGAACTGCTTTTCATCATGGAGGCTTACAGGCACTGCAGCTTTCTCCAGTTCTCCATTTCTCTGCCTCAGAGTAGTTCTCCCTAGAAAGTTCATGTGAAAAAGTATGTCCTTCCTAGCCTGAACTTTGTCTTACATATATATTTTAAGTCCACTAGGAATAGAGTTCTACTTAACAGCCTGGTTTTTAAGGCATTTTGCCTAGACGTCGTTTAAACTGTTGTAAAGCTATGCAAGATCCCATAGACTATTTTCAGGGATAGAAGGTTTTCTATGTCAGCCCCTTATGATCTCTTTGTAAACTTCAGTATGAAAAGAAGGTGGTTTCTAAAGAATGGAGAGGCATGTACTGTACTCTAGCTCTAAAAATATTTTGGCACAGCAAAATATGAGTTGGAAACTTTTTCTGGAAACCTCCTGAGTTTTCAAGAGACTAGTTCAATATTGTGTCCTTTTTAATGTAAAACAAACAGTCTTCACAACAGCTGCCTTGGATTATTTTCAGATTAGCCTCTCATTTATGTTTTGAAACAGTGGAATATATCTGCCTTCTCACTGTATCTCTAGCCCTTAAGACAACAGGACAAGTCACTCAGTTATTGAAGGGAAGTAGGAAGAGTATATTTCCATTTTGCAGATTATGTTTTAATAAAATGGATTAAGTCCTTCAAAAGCATACATATGATGGTCATGAATATGGAACTGTGTTTCACTAGAAAATGTCAAATTTGCACTAGCAAGACATTTTTCATTAGCATTGTTAAAAAAATAGCATATGACAGTGAGGAAGCAAAGCAAGAACATGCTGAAAGACAGCAGTTCTGTGATGTAATCCTGTCTCATGTTGTCAATCTTGTTTATCATTGTATTTATGCCAGTTCTTACTGACATATGCAGACAAGTCAAACATCTATGTGTGTATATATGAGATTCCTGTAACTTTCTAGTTGAGATGACTTTCAGTCAATCAGTATTTTCAATAGTAGCTAAGTGTTTCAGAGACATTTGACCAATTGCCTTCTAAACCTTTCAGCCTTCCATCCAAGTTAGACTTTCTTATTAAATATAACCTTCTAGTAATTATTTCTCCTCCTGTGTGACAAAGGCACTGAGGAGTTGTATTAAAGCCTTTTCTTTGTAATTTGCAAAAAGCTCCTGTAGGAAGTAAGATTTCCAGAAACTTATACTGGAAAGCTTCCTTATTCTTAATGTTTAATTACATGTTTCTTGAAATAAGTCTCATTGAAGTAGCTGAATGTTGTGTCCTCAGAGGAAGTCACTGACACTTTTACACTTTTGCCTCAGTCTTAGAAGCCCAAGCCTCCTGTGCATAGTTCATGTTAATTTTCTGCAGATCACTTTCCAATGTCAGTTGTCAATGCCGGCAGCAAACCATTCCTCTTCTTCCCATACTTCCAGTTTTGACATAAGCTGTATTGTCAACTTTTCCTCCCTTAGGTCTGGTGAAGAATTCACTGAAGACAGGGAAAGGTGACATGAATTTACCAAAGGCTGAAGAGGAAAGACTAGGTTGAGAATGTATTGTGAAATGCAAGTGCTCTTCTTACCTCACATCACCACCTCACAAATTGTGAAATCTTTTTATATATAACAGTCCCTCATTCTTTTTTCAGAGAGGAGTGTGCTGTATCTCTCTTTTCATTTAGAATTTTGGTAGAAGGTCATGGATCAGGGACTGAATTAGAAACTCATTCTATCAGTCTGTGGATTTCACAGTCAGTGTACTGACAGCACTGGTCAATGTTAAGGCCCCCCCCCCCCCCCCAAAGTCTATAAATTATTAGTGAACAAACTTGGTCTTTGATTTTGGAAATAACAGTGCATGCAATTTTTAATTATAATTCTGGGTGCTTAAAATGTATGTTGTGCCATATTAGATGTCTTAACACAAGGGAATAATTTCTGAAACTCAGTCATATTTGCAAGAGGGTGCATATATGTCATTGTTTTAGTTTGGATCAGAAATTTATTTATGAAATCCATTTATCTGTCATACCCACTTCTTACATTGTGAGTCACATACAGGAACAGTTTTGCACATTACAAACTGAATCCTTTCCCACAAAACAAATGTTTTACATAAATAGACCTGACTGTGCTTCAGCTGCTAATGGGTGCTCAATCCATTGGACAAGATTAGAACTAGATTCCTGTCCCCATGTTTGTAGAGTTGATTCTGATCCTTGGCACTGTGTTTCATTCCATGCATTCACTACTCCTGCTGTGCTCTAACTGCTTTTATTAAGACAGAGCTTGTCCTCCTTTGTTTCTAAATGTGATCCAGAGCTTTGTGTTTAGGTACAAAATGCTGCTGAAGAGCCTATTGAATTTTAAGTAAGGCTGAAGCTGCTTTAAAAACCCAGATTGCTTCAGAAAATAAATCTTGGGCTGCTCAAGTGGCATTTGCAAAAGTCTTACGGGTTTCAGAAACCCCCCTGTGCCACTCTCCCATTGGTCAGACTGCTTTTGGAGCTTATTTTAATTTTAGTAATAAGTAATGTTTTGTTTTAGTTGATGGAACTGCAGCAGCCATGCTCGCAGGAAGTATAGTTGGGTAGGGACTGAAGAATTCTTTGGTACCATTGACCTGGGAGAATGGAGCACAAATTTTAAAAGTTTAATCAGACCTGCCAGGTCCTGTTTCCTTAGTGCAAGCTTTTCTTTGTCTGAAGTTAGAGCTTCTCAGTGATACAAGTGGATTGCAGATTTCTTTGAATAATTCAGGGATAGGGTATCTGCAACATCTTGGGGCAGCCTGTTTCAAAGTCTTGCCACCCTCCTAGTAAAGAATTTCTTCCTGTATATAGTCTAAATATTCTCTCTTCTAGTTTAAAACCATTGCCCCTTGCTTGTCCTGTCTTTATAGGACCTGGTAAAAAAATAACTCTGTTTTTCTTAAAAACCCCCTTGAAGTATTAAGAGGGCCTCCCTTGACCCTTCTCCAGACTGAAAAATGACAACTCTCTCAACTTTTCTGTATAGGAGACATTTTCCAGCCCTCCAACAATTTTCATGGCCCTTTTTTGGATTTGTTCCAATGGAACCATGTCTTCTGTTGTGGATGCCAAGCTGCATACAGCATTCCAACTTTGTGGTAGCTGAAGATGCAGTCCATATTGTGGGAGGTGGGAGTCACATGCTGTTTCCCAGTAATGCAGAGGCAAAGCTGACTAGTTGTAGAGTAATCACATCATTTCCACAACATATTTTGTGTTCTTTCTAACTACAAACTGAACATTAGTCAAATGTCTTAACAGGTGGAAGCTCGAAGTTCTAGCTTTTCCACTTGGTGTTTAATTTGAGGGACAAATGGTAACATTTCTTTCAGTCTTTCTTATTGTGTGGCATCTTCAGAATTGCTCTGTAACTTAAAGAATGGTAGTTTCCATGAGAAACAGAATGTCAGATTTTTTTCTGTAGGGATGTTTATAAATATGATCAAATCCTTTCCAAAGTCTCCTCAAGCATTTTTATTTACATCAATCTTTGTTCTTTAATTTTTTTTTCCAAATTTTCTTTCTTTGTTACCTTTATCCAGTATTTTGCAGCCTGGTTTAAGGCTACTGAGAGTGGTGTATTTTTAATAGATGCTGCATTTTACATGAAAGTCCATGTCTTAACATTTATTATTTAAAATACAAATTTTTGGATAAGTTTTTTATCTTAGAGTAGGTTTTGTGGCTTAAGCAAGTTCTGATCTTTATGATTAGGAAATCCTGAAGATTGCTGTTCCTCCCAAATGAACCTGGTATTCTGAAGAACTGTTGGAAGATTTAGAAGTACAAAAGGTCTGATCACTGCAACAAATAATTTACTTACAAAATTTCACTCACTGGCATATTGCAGAATACAAAGAAACTGGTTACCTTTGCAGGTCTTGCAGAAGAACACATCTCTTTTCTTCTTAATAACTTTTAAGAATACTTGAATTTCACTGGGTTTGTTGCATTATTATGTACTACTTAGTAACTTGCTATTTTGGAGCATACACTGACTTGATGTATCAAATCAGATACATTCACGGGTGATGTTTGCTGATGGATTAACTACTCATCCCTTCCTTATGCTGTTGATCAATAGCTCTTAATTTCAGGATAGGCAGAACAAGAAACAACTGCTATGCAAGAACCAGAACAAGACAGCCAATGCATTTCTAAAAATCATCACTAGGTTTCCAGATGTTTTGCATCTGAGAAAGTGATGTTCCTTTAAGCTCTTCCTCTGTTCCTGTTGATGATGATATCTTACGATACCCAGGTATAACAGGAGCTTGATTCTTCTCTTCCTTTTCTGGTTTTAGGTAGGAATTAATTTATACATTGATACATGTGTGTACTGGGCAGGATCCATTAATCAAGCAATTAGAGACATGGAAGAAGGGCATTAGTGGCTAATGCCACATCTGAAGTAACCTAAAGTCTGTTGTGGTCTCAAAGATGGTGGTGTTTTGTCACAGAGCTGTAAGTTTGGCTGCTGGTGTTCCCTGTTACACCTGCAGCACCCTCCTATGAAGATGGTGGTGAATGTGTACATTCTGTACACATACTGTACCTGAATCAGAATGTGATGCAGGTTACTGCTTGTAGCATTTGCAGCAGTCTGGCTCAGGACCTGTTATCTTCTTGGTATCTAGTTAGTGTTTGACCCCTTCTCCCAGCCCCTTCAGTAGCATATATAAATAAAAAATGCTTCAGTATTTCAAACAAAGCACTTAAAATAATCTTTAATAAAAATGAATTTGAGAATTCATGTCAAAATGAGCACATGCACAAACACACAGAGATTTCCATAGTGTTTATGCTCCCAGTTTGAATACTCTATGCATTTATTTGAATTGAACTAATGCTTAAATTGAATTAACGCATTGAATTAATGCTTAAATGGTATTGTATCTTGTCCTACAGCTACTCTAAAGAGCACTCAGGATGAATTAAACAAGAAAGCACTTCAGTCTTTGGAGAGGTGAGTAGGAATTTTGCAGATACTTGCTTTGTGCATTTTTTTCATTAATTCAGAAAAATTTTTCTTTTTATGTTTCTTTTTCCTCTGTGTAAGGCTTCCATGCTGGAAAGTTCAAAAACAGTTCATTAGATTTCAGCAGTAGTGTGTCAAAACCATTTTTGTGATGGCTAAATGCAGTGATTATTTGATTAAATATCCAAGGGAAGAATACTGTTCTGCCACCTTACAGAAAAAAACCTTAGCCCCAAATTAGCTGCAGTGAGATCTACAGTGCTGGGAGATGCAGCTTCCTCACATGATGCCAGCTGGCAGACATGGAAAGCTAATTTTGTCTCAATTCCTGTGTGAAGCAGGCTTAAAATCCTATTTCCGTCATGGTGGGAAAGTACCTCCACCATAAGGGTGTAAGCAGCTATGGGGTGACCTGGCACCAGGGCACCTAGGGGAGAGAATAATTGCTGTCCTAATGAGTGTTTAAATCAGCTGTTGTTGGAAGAGGAGGTTCTAGAGCTAGTGGTACAAAGCAGGCACCACTCACCTCTCCTTCATCCCTATATTTTTGGGGAAAACTGATACAATGGCTCCACTCTGGAAGGAACTGTGCACTCTTGTGCAACTACACTTGAGACCTCAAGTACAACTGCTTGATATAAAACCCTTTTTTGTCCATTCTGTGGGGTAGAGCATTAAGGTGTGAGCTTCCTGACTCTGTTATGATTAAGTTACACCACCCAAAATACACTAGGTGGTGTTCAGGCAGTTATTTACATTTGTACAATTACATTCACAATTTACAACCCACTATAAAGGTAGATGCCTACAGACTATAGATAGCAATTAAATGGAAGCTTATGTGGTCTAAGTCTTGGGCGGAAGGATCTAATTCTGAGTTTATTGTTGTCATAATTACGTAAGTGAAGAAAACTTGAGATCTCTGGTATCTCAAAGTACAGATTTAACAATTTGAACAATGTTAAAAGATCTTAGCTGTTTTGCTGATGCTGACCAAGAAGGAGCCCAGCATGTTTGTCTTACACTGGTTTTGTAGTGAGTGCAAGAACTGAAACCACAGATACAATTCTGGGTATTTACCTTATGGAGATCTGAGAGAGAAAACTCCTAAAAGCCATTTATTCATTCATTGTTTGGATGAGGAGTGTACTTTTACTTTTAAGTCACACTAGTTTGTGGACTCCAGCGTCGTACATAAACTGCTGACCAATTCTAAGGAATTGTGGTGCTGCACTGCTTTTCAACTTCCTTGTTTTTTATCCTGTGACCTTTCTCATTGGCTGTGACTTGTTTTCATGGTATCTTAACTCTACCTAGGAGGCAGACAAGCTTCTAGCCAAACATTAGTTACTCAAACATCAGCCAACAGGAATGTGACAGTGAGCTGATTACTAGTGATTTCTAAATGCCTAAGTTTGGTTTCCTTCCTTTTTGTACCTTCCTTGGTTTTTGCCTTTTTTTGAGGAGCCTGTATGATCTCTCAGGCCATAGTTTGGCCTGTAGTCATCTCAGTAAGGGACCTTTTCAGTTGGAAGATTGCACTAAATGTTTTTCTAATTCCTTATGAGGAAAATGAGCAATAACAATCCTTTGTTTCTTTCCAAAAGCACCAGTAATTTCATTTGCTATACTCTTGTGAACTTTCCTGTTATTTATTGCTGGAGAAGCTACTGAAGGTTTCATAAGAGACACTTTGTAAAGAGGTGACTCGCCCTGTCTAACACCTTAGGGCAAAGCTGGGTTCTACCTTGTGGAGTTTTGTTGTTTGTTGCAATTTTGGGGGAAGTTGGGGATTTTTTTGGTTGAGGGGGTTGGTGACTGTTTGGGTTTGGGAGTTTTTTTGTGTTTTTTGAAGTGGAAGGAGAAATTACTGACTCACCTGTACTAATTGCATGTTGATGTCTTTGGCATTCCTTCAGAACACTTGAGTGCCACCTTGACTTAGAGAGTTACAGGACATATTCAGTCCATACTAAATTAATTTGTTCTAGAGCTTTTAGTTATAAAAATCAGCTTCAAAATCTTCTTGCTCACAAGCCAAGATGGTATTTGAAAAGTGGCTGCCATTAAAACGGTGTGTGGTTTGTTTCCTGAAGGAATTATTTTATTGCTACTTGTTTATTATTAGCAAATCAATAGTTTTGGCATGGGTTTTAACCACCAGTATTGTCAGCCTGTCGTTTCTCCCTCATAAGGACATTAATTGTGCTCACTTTGGGCCTGGCAGTGCAGGTGCAGGTTTCCCTGGTGTCCTGGAATGCAGCCCAGAAAGAGGTCAGGAAATGTTAATTGGCTGTGAGGGACCTTCCTCTTCCCCATTTCTCCCATGTGAAATGACTTCCCTGTGCTGCAGAGCTGTGAGTGAGCTCTGTGAGTCACAAGGGGAGAATGCACTGGCTCCTGGAGTGGGCTGCCAGGTGGCATCAGCTGCTGCCCCACCTTTCCTCCTAGACTGGGTTCCCCAAGACACTATCCCAGCATTGCCTTGGGTAATGGCTTCTCCACAGGCTAGCAAATTCACACTGCAGTTTCGTGCCTAGCATAGTCTGAGAGGGGACAGTTCTGCCTAGGCTGTCCATCCCTGTTCCCTGCCTTGTACAAGACTTTGTTAAAGGCCTGCACATCTGGTTCTGGAGACACTGCAGCCTTCTCTAGCCAAGGCTTCACTTCAGTGTAGTGCCTGCTGTGGGCTGGAAGGGATATTTCAGAGTCCAAGCTTGACAAGTAAGGGCCTTGGTGTTGGTCCAGGCGCAGCTCCTGTCATCAAATCATTCCTCCCTCAGTGTCTTCCCTTTCCAAATTAGGAGTCTGCTGTCAAAAATTAAACTAGAAGCTGCAGGGTGGAGAATGTTTTGTATGTTTGAGCACCAGCTTATATCACAGGCTTCTGATCCTTAGTCCTCTACATGCTCATAGTGATTACTTTTTCAGTGCTAATCCAACCCTCTCTTAATGTTTGAAAAGTGGCAGTATAGGAACAACTTAGACAACTATGTCTATCACCTGAATTACTTAAAATAATGCTTTGATAGGTTTGTTATGTGCTCAGAGCTACTTTTTCCATATTAGTTATCCAAGTTCCAAAATATTAAGTGGCATTTAATAAAGGAGCACGTAAGTTGTATAACATCCTGGCAGCTGTGTTTCTCATACTTTTTCCTGGGATTCTGGCTTAGCCAGACCAGCACTGTTCTGCTTTTTGTCTAGTTTCAGTGTGCTCCCCCATTACTGGACTAGTTTTCTGTGGGGGAAGACTGGTTTTTTTCTGTGCTAATGTGACTCATGGTGAAGGAGTTCTGCAAAGTGCAATCTAACAGTCACTTTTCTTTTTGTCTTATGTGCTTGTCCTTAAAGAGCACGTGACCTGGCCCCCGAAGATCATCAGATCATCCTCTACCTGTCACTGCAGCTGGCTCTTGTCAGACAGGTATGTGAAATATTTGGAAATCACTGAGTCACGGGAGGATGGAAGGACAGTCCAGTTGAATAAGACCCAGGCTTGCTAAACAGGGTCCCTTCCTTCCTGCATTGTAACCGGTGACAAGCAGTCAGAATATGTTTATGTAAAATATTTTTTAATTCTTACTCTAAAAATAATAATTCTGTAGCACATGGAATGGCCTTCCCTGGGGAATGTGTTCAGCCCTAGCTCCTGAGCAGTCTTGGAGCAGCCTTGTGTGTGTGGGATGAGGAGGTGTGTTTGTTGCTGCTCCCTGGTGTCACTGTGTCCTGCTGCAGGCCGCTCCAGAGGCTGTCCCGTTGTACCCAGCTCCGTGCGGTGCCAGATCTCACACTGGGATCGCTTTATTCCAAACTTGGGCACGTTTGACGCCAGGCTCTGACGCGTGCTGGAGCTCTGCAGAGAGTGGGATTAGTTGGCATTTGAATGCTGCTGCAGGTGTTAACTCATAAAAATGAAGCTGATCAGAAAATGCTCTGCACTGCCTTTCAAAAAAAAACTCCAACCTCTTGGGCTGTGCTTTATTTTTCTGCCCCTTTTTCTTAAAACTGGGGTGTTGTATTTCTCTGTCCTTTCTGTTTAAAAGCTAAAGGCTTTATTGGAGCAGCTTCTGTTTTTTAAATACCTCTCTAGCTAGATTTGAAATTTCATCATTGTAGTTTCTTTCTTTGGCAGGCCTTCTGCTTGCTGCAGTTTTCTCTCCCTAGTCTACACTACAGAGTTTAACAGTTGGGTATTTCTTACTTTCCTGAGCTAATTAGGGGAGCTGTGTGTTCATTAGGTTAAACTAATTGTTCCAAGAGAGCACCCTCTTGATAATGTCACTTTTGTAACCCTTTCATAATGAGAGCAGTGTGCTGTGAGCCTGCAATAAGAAAGGATAATTAAAATGGCTTATTTAACTTTCTCGTCTGCCTACTGGCTGCTTTATGATGCAGTTTGCTCAGGGTCTTTTATTTAAAAACACCCAGCTACCCTTTTTTCTCTCACAGCTTTTGCCTCATAGAGAGACGGTCTGATTTGCTACCTCTTCTGCTTGCCATGAGTAAAGAATTACAGCTTTTCAGCTGAAATGTCCTGAAAGATAAAATGAAGATTTTTGTGGTCATTGATTTTTTGTTTTCACTGTTACTGGCATTTTAACTATTACTTTTTTTTTCTCGTTGTAGCCTGTCTTTGCCATGTTGTTTCATCTCTCTTGTTGCTTCATTTCCCTTCCCTCCTGTTCTTTCCATTCAGTCTCTTGTCCCCGTGTTCACTTTCCTCTTTTGTCTAGTTCACCTGTGTGTTGTGCCAGTCGCCTCTGCTCCCACAGCTGTGTGATCTCAGTGTATTGTGTAGTGTCAGCCTGACCCCTGCCATGATGCTCCTGCTCTTCTCCCATCAAGTGAGATATAAATCTTTAATGCATGCTTGGACAGAGAGGAGATACCTGAGACTTCTTTATTTTTAGACTGCTGTAAAATACCCTACTCTTCTTTTGCCAGTTTACTTAATGATAAACATTTGGTAATGCATTTTTAATATCCTTAATTATTTAAAGTATCTAATATATTCTCTTTCTGATTAACTGAAAGATAAATGATACCTTTTTTGATAGTTTGCATTAACTATTGAACATCACAGTTAGGGCTTTCGTCAGGCAGTGCTATAATACCAATAAATCAGGCCTTTTCTACATAGTAGGTTATAATATAATACAATACCTCAATGTTTTTCTCAACAAATAGACCTTTTTGTTTCCATAGTCAGAGTCAATAAATAAAGTAACTGTACCCAGCATTGAAAAATATAGGTATCAGCTTGCATAGATAAGAGAGTGTTTTCATGGAACAAAGCAAGAGAGGCAGCTGACCAGTAGAGTGCCAAGCAAAGCTGGAGCAATTCATCTTCCTTGGAAGGCTGTAAAATGTTTCCAATAGCACTTGTCTCTGTCACCACTGGGTGAGGCAAAGGGAAAATGGAAAAACATAGGCATCCCTCTGACATGAGATGAGGATGTGACAGAGGAGGAATGGCTATAAAAGGTTCATGCAGAGCCGGCATTTGAAACCACCAGCAACCAAGATAAAAAATGATGATAATGAGCATTGTATGTGCTCATGTCTTAAAGACCACTGGAGTCACTGGGAAGACTGGGAGGGTCTACATCAGCCCCAGAGTGATTTAGGGGATTTTTCAGCCAAACACCGTGTAGAATAACCTGTTCTGTAAGGAGGGTCTCTCAGTCTGGTTTTCCCCCTGAGCTGAAGTGCCTGTAGGCCAAGGTCTGTACCTGCTGCAGTGGATATCTCCACCTGCAGTGCCTGGCTGGCAGACCCCAGTGACAAATGAGATTTGTAGCTCCCCACTCCCAGTGGCTGGTTCGGCTGCTTCTCCTGTTTCTGTGGTAACAGCACTTGGATCAGCAAAAACAAGGTAGAATGAACATTTTAAAGCTCACTGATTTTAATGCATTGCCTTGTTTTTTAAAAAGCAGACTGGTTTCTATGGAAATTACTCTCTAGAGTCAGCAGCACTCTTGTTAATTTTAAGTGTTGAATCCGGTTTTTTGGGGGTGGTGGTGTTTGTGACCTTGACTGCCGTGTAAATCAGTATTGAATATGTAAAAACAACTTACATAGGCACATGCCATTTTAATACTTGATTAGATCTAACCATTCTCTTCATGAAAATGGGAAGGGAAAGATGGCTAAGGGTCAGCAGCTGAGCACTGTAAGTCTCACCAGTTTCCTGTGGACTTCCAAGAGACCTCAAGTTTCAAGTGGCACTATACAGAAAACACCTACTTCCTTCCCAAGTGTCTGGATGTAAAGCTAAGATAAACATCAGTTAAGAGACCAGAGAAAATATTTCACCTGTTTTGCCCATTTTTTGTTTGGTTTCAAGGAGGAGAGGCTGCTGTCTGCCCAAAGAGAGGAGCTCTGTTTTAGGAGGTATTCAAGAGGTGGTTCTTTCAGTGACTGCTTGCATGTAGGTAGTTCTCTTCTGTCTTTTTCCCAGATTACCAGCTGCCTCCTCTGCTGAAAAGCAACATGCTGCTTTTCTGCCTACATCCTAGCCTAGATTGTTCTGGTGATCAAGAATGACTTGTAGGAAGAACTAAGTAATAACCCATGGGTGTATACCTACTTTCCTGAGGTTCTGGTGAGCTGTAGCAAGTCTGTTTTCAATGGAAACTCTTTCCAATCAGTAAAGCTTTCCCCTTTCCATGCTATAAAAAGAGTTGGAGTGGGTAGTTGTAATGGTTAATTAAGTGTAACTGTCAACTGATGTGAAATTATATGGCCTGAAAATTCCTCTTAAGGGTTCCTGTTTCATTTACCATTTAAAATACCCAAGTTCATTCTACTGTTAGGAAGTATTTTTTACACTTACTCTGTTTTCCTTTTTATACTTGTAATTGTGACATATCAGCATTGTTTTTAAGGAGACACATAGCATTATTGAAATAAATCCTACTATATAAAAGGCAGCCTAAACAATCCATATTGTGGCATTATTTTGGTAATGCTGCAAGATGCTATTTCTGGCCTACTGCAGCATCTTTGCTTCCTAATCAGTGTGATGTGAAGATACCTGTGTGCCATGCAAAGCATGTGGTATATTTGTTAACAGAATGATAAATCAGGGAACTGCAGCTTCTTCTAATTGTAGGCCCTACTTAGACTTGCAGTCCAGCTGAAATAAGATTATTTTAAAGTGCCGTACTTGTAGGGAATTTTAAACTGGCAGCCTGCCTCTGATAAAGCCCTGACATTTCAGGGTGCCATCTGGGGTGACACCAGCTTCCATCTTTCTCAAATTATATAGTTACTTAAATATAAATACATCTTTCAAAAGAAGTTTTGTGTTGACTGCTGCCAAATATCTTGCTTTTGTTGGTCTAAAAATTTAGTTTGTATTTCATTGCATCTAGTCTGTTGCAGGTTGTTGTTTCACATAATGCTTTCTGTAAAGGCAGAGAGTTCATATTATTTTTGTCCACTGTTTCTAATTATGCAGCAGTACTGTGTAGGCTAATAATGGTGTTACAGCACTAAGGAGTCTTTTTGGACTCAAGTTAATAAATTAGGTGCCAGGGAAGCATGATTAATTTTTAAAGCCAGCCATTGCTTGTGACTCTGATGATACTAGAGGGAAGCACTGAAATGAGATGTAACTATTGCAGGCCCCATGCTAGAGAACAGAATTATTTTAGATGACATTTCTTCCAGCAGTATGTGGCTGCCTCTCCAGCAGACACAGGTTTGCAGGAGTGACCACAACTCACTTTTTTGCAGCTCTATTTCATGGATGTTGCAACAGAGTCAGAGAGCTCCTTGGATGGCCAGCCTCTGGTAGGGGTGTGGACCTACCTGCAGTTTGATCCTAAGTCATTTTCAACACATAAAGCAAGTCTCAGTTTGCATATTCTCACACGAGTAAGGTCAAGCGCCCCTACAGTTTTGAAGTCCCTCAGTAAAGGCATTAGTTGCAAGTGTTATTCTTTGCCTGATTCATCCTAGCAAATTAGGCTCCCCTTCCCAAGTCTTAATCATAGAATAGTTTGAAGAGGACCTTTAGAGATCACCCAGTTCAATCCCTGCTCAAAGCAGGATCATCTGGAACGGGTTGCTCCAAGTCTTCTCCAGTTGTTTGATTTGCAGGTTTTCTTCTAATTAACTTTTCCCCAAACTTGTATTTTCTTTATGGGTATTTGTGCAGCTCTGAGACAGAGAAATAGAAAGAAATAGAAGGGTTTTTAGTCCTGAGTGCAAGAAGTCTTGACAGCAGCTTTGTTTTAGCAAGTCAAATTTATATACCTCTGGTATATCTATGAACAACTTTGTGGACAAGCAGATCTGGGCCCACCACTGTCTGATCCTGGCTCCAAGTTGTATTGTCATTGCTAGAATTTTTATATTGTATGAAAATGTGTTCTAGTAAACTGCTGAGGGAAGGTTAGTGATTAGGTCAACGTGTTTACCCTTGCAGTAGGCTTTAATAACACATGTAGTTAAAGTAGCTCCACTGACAAGCAGTAATTCATTAAAGCTGAGCAGTCAGTCATGTATCCCAGTCTGAATCCAAGCCAGGACATTCAGCAGTTTTGATGCTGTGGGCCAAGTGCCAGTTTGGGGTTATGTCTGGAGCAGTCACACTGATCTCCAGGCTTGCATGGAGTCACCAGTAATACAGAGTGAAGTACCATGGCTCATGTGTACACAGCGAGAGAGAAATGTCACTTGGACATTTGGATGAAGTTGTCCTATGAACAGAATATACACTGCTCCCAGAAGGATACCTGGACTTTAGGTAATCAACAACCTCTGTAGTAGCTGCAGGTGGTGTCATTGTTGCTTTCCTTAGTTATGTGCTTCTTGTTTTTGTGAGAGGTCTGTGGAGGCGGTGGGAATTTGACACTGGTGGTATGCCAGGGTAGGAGAATGTCTGTAAGGCTGTGCAAGGTGGGAAGTTCTCATAGTAGAAAAGAAGGAACTACATTCTCCATCCATTAAGAGTAGGAGCAGGAAAGCATACATGAGGAAAAGCAATTTATACACTTTAATGCTTTGTTTTCTGCAGCCTTCCAGAGCCACAGAAATGCAATAATTTATGTAACAGTAATTTGAGACACTAGAGAATCTTAAAGAAAATCTTCTACATAAAACTTAGCAGTAAACAAACTAAAGAAAATCTGCTAAGAAGTTCCCTTTTGAACAGATAGTCTAAAATAGTGTACTGGATCACAAAGAGCATGTGATAGACTTGCATTCATTATAGATGTTAAGTTTTCTGCCAAGTGAGACTTGGTTCTAATAACATGCTGCTGCTGTGACTGTCAGGACTGCTCTTTACATCACTGCTTGCAAATATATTTCTTTTTTTGACAGCATTTTAGATCTTGACTCTTTTACCCTTGAACATTCAAACTTAATTTTTATGTTCTTGATCCAAATCATGAAAGACTTTGTAGAGCCATTATGAGAGACAAAATGCAGCAGAGATGTGCAGTGCTCACCCCCAGCTGAAGAGCCAGCCACTCATCCTAGAAAATGGAGCTGAGAGTTGGGCATCTGTGGTGGATATGTTTACATCATAGAATCACCATGCCAGAGGATGAGGGGGTTGATGGGATCAGGTCTGCTGCTCTTGTTTATAAGCAGTGATTTAGTAATGCTGCAGACTTCTTTTCTCTAGAATGTGTGGGTTTTTTTCAAGCAGTGCAGTCTGTTAATTTTGGCAACCTGTTTTGATAGTAGAAGGTGCCTAAGCAAAACTTCTTCAGAATTTCTATTTACTCTATTTGTTCTTATTTTTGAGGTATAATGTAGGACTGAAAGAGTGATGTGTTCTCTTGTTATTTCTACCCCATCTCCTTCTAGATTTCAGATGCTATAGACCATCTTCAAGAAGCCCTGCAACTGTGCAAAGATGACATGAATTCACTTCATCTACTGGCCCTCCTCTTTTCAGCTCAGAAGCACTATCAGCATGCACTGGATGTTATCAACATGGCTGTTGTTGAATACCCAGAAAGCTTTAGGTAAGAGCTGTTTCCTGGTGCCAAGCATCCAGTCAGGAATGAACTGCTCACTAGCTGTTGTTCTCATTTATACACAAGGAGCCTGTTAAATCACACGTGTTACAGGTGTGTCACTCCCCTCCTGGGGAGGGTATTCTTTTACTTTCTGGCTTCACAGTCTTCCTGTAATCCTTACACTTGCTTTCTTTTCCAGTATTTGTCTTTCTGTATTGTGCTGAGGGTGTTGTTTCCTGTAGTTTTTTGTATTTCATTTAAGATGTGGAGAAATGAGGGTGAGACAACTATGACAGTGTCTGTGTCATAAGTAATTTTATATTTGGTGACTCCCTGGTTAAAAGCAAATTTTTCTTACAATGACCATTGCTTTGATGATCATCTATCACACAATTTCCTGCAATATGACATCTGGGGAAAAAGATCAGTTGAAAATCACAAGCTGTGATAATGTATAGCTGAGAGGAAGGACGATTTGCCTGCCTAGGAGTAAGTTTGAATCAGCACAGACTTCTTGGAGCCAAAGGCTTCTACTGTTCTCTGTTTGACTCAGACCCTCATCCATCTGAGGGAGGTAAATTGAATTCCATGCAATTTACTGTCATGACCTTTCAAAACAATGAATTTGTCTGTTCTGTGCAAAAATTAAAGCTACTGTAGTATTATCTGGTGATTTCATACTAGCTGAGTTTTTCAGCCAAACTGCAGAAAATCCTATTGCATTGCTGGAAAACTAGCTTTCATTTGGAATTGCCTGTGCTTAAATAGTGTTCTAAACCTGTGCATCATTGCCTTTAGAGAGCCTTGCATTCTCTTGAAGCAGGAGCAGCCTCCACAGGTTTAGTCCAGAAGCTGAATGAAATATTGTCTAAACAGAGCAAAGGCAGGTCATAGGAAGATTGAGGCTGTGTAATTGTGAGCTTGAATCTTTAGGATCTTTCAGAATTACAGCACTGTATCAGCATATAATGTTTTTATTGCAAACTACATGTTGCCATTTAAAATAGCTTTGCTGCCTGTGTTTTTGAGGTTAGTTACTTTGTGTATGTGAGGAGCTAAGACTGCACTTCTTTGAGAATGAAGTGGAAACTAGTAATGGAAACACTCTTAAAATGAAGCCAGCTCTGCTCTTTAGATTGTGAACATAGGTATGACTGAAGCAGGAAATAGCCCAGTGGCTGTTGAATTGTGTTTTAGGGTTTTAAAGTAATAAACAAAGTAAAAACCCCTCATACAGTGAAAGGTCACATTGTACTGTTGGAGATTAGATGTTTGTTGAAGACTACAAAAACACCTAAAGATACACAAGACAGAGGAAGAGGTTGTTTATGTCAGGAGAAGAGTGTTTGCCTTGTCCGATTGACCAACTGGTCCATCATGTCCTGGATCTTTCCCCCAGCAGTTACTGATTATTTATGTTTCAGGGGAGGACAAAACATAGCAAGCATTGTATGCGAAGTAGCTTGGAGGGCTGCTGGGTGGGTTCCTTTGTGCTGTCTGGTAATCTGATTTCCCCAAAGCTGATAAGACTGTTATCTCTTATGTTTTCTGTGGGTGCGAATTTTGAGTGCACAAAGACCTTGGCCAAGGAGTAGCAGAATTGGAGAATTGGTTGTTTTTGGTAGAAGGAATTTAGTATTGGTAGTGAAGGCCCAGGTTCATGCTTGCCCCTAGACACAGCCTTGCTAAAGGCTTGTGTGCCCTTGGAAGGGCCCCTCTTTGCTCCTTGCACGCACAGGGGAGTGTAACAAGGCTGACAGTGAGACTCATTCACAGGTACACATGGATGGAGGAGTAGGGGCTGGCTTCTTGCCTCTGCTGTGTGACTGCCCTCTCTCCATGTGGGTCTTTTTCTTAACTAGCCAGCAAATAACTCATGGGTGAGGGAATGGAGAAAGAATGTCAGAGTTCCAAGGCAAGAAAAAAAAAATAAAAGCTTGAAAAATAGAATTAAACAAGTGTTTCTGAAAAAAAGGAATGAGAGTCCAATAAGGAGGGGGAAAGCAAAAATAACAGAGTACATCTATAGTTTGTACCAAATTTGAAACCATTTTAGGCTTTCTAGTGCAGTTTATGCTAGAAGGGCTTTACTGCTTTGTGAAACCTCTTTGAAGGGACAAAGACCTGATGCTATTGTGTATCTCCAGTTGCTACTGCCTTATAGAAAAATGCTAATTTTACTACTGTATGGAATAACTACAAGATGTTTCATGTAAATAGTGTAGGTAAGTTCAACTGCATGATTTTAAAGCTGTATTTAAAAGTGGTTGATTATTTTTCCCAATTCACATCTATATGAACCAGGCAACTGTGTAATATGGTGCCTGGGGGCTCCCTTCCTAATGACATCTCTCTTTGGAAGCACAGTTTGATGGCATGTATCAAGAAAAGATGATGAAAGCTACATTAAAGGACCTTAGGGCTCTGTAGATGGCAGAAAAAAAACCCATAAACATTACCTAGATGTATATCCTAAATAAAAGAAAGCGTAAGATGTAAAAAATTAAGGACTTGGCTGACGCAAACTGCAGCCATCTCATACTGTTTCCCTGGTCTCTGTATGTAATTAAAGTGAGTTAGTTGCTGCTTTTTTTGTTTTATATTAAATCCTTTTATTACAAATTTTAAAGAAGAAGTATTTTTAGGATAGTTCATGTAGTTGCTGTTGGCTGAAGCAGTTGGAAAAAATACACTGCATTTCTCAGCTAACACACAACATCCTTTGGCATGAACTTCATGATACTGACCCAAATATGCCTGAAAGTGCCCCTTGTTCATGTGTTTAAACATTTACTGTACATTTCAGAGGTTGATGTGGTGCTCAGGGAGGAGGGATGTGAAATGTAGGCACTGAATACAGTGAAAGATGCAGTGGTTTGGACTGAGCTATTGAAGATCTGGATATCCAAAAGGCACAAAATGAACTTAGGAAGATGACTTCTTGAAAGGTGGCATGTAGTAACAAATCCATTACATTCCAGTCACTGAATCACTGACTGAATTTGAACACTTGAATGTACTGTCAAGCAATGACAGAGGAAGACTTCATAAAAGAAGAATGAGAGCCAACTATGCTGAACATATTGCAAGCTGGGCTGAGCCAGAAGAAATACACTGTCTTGCCATGACTGTAAAAGATAGAAATAGCAACCTTTACATGGAAGGTATCATCTGAAAAGTTTCTGACACCTCTCTGTGGGGTGAGACTGCCCAGGATAAAACTTAGTGATTTTACATCCTGTCAATGATGGCATGCTTCATAAAGAATGAATGAATGCTGTACCAACAGTTGGCTGTGGTATATATTTTCAAAAGGACTGTCTTCAGCACATTTGGGTAAGAAGACTCCTGTTAGCATCAGGTGTCTCTCCTCCAGGTCAGTAATGCTAATCATAAGCCTTTCTGAAGATGAGTTCCTGTAATTTTTTTCCAGCTCAAAGGCCAGCCTTTGGGCAGTGTTCTACCTGAGTCTAGCAGTGATTACCTTCACAGGCTTGTCTCAGGGAAGAAATAATGTTAGTGAACACTCCTTTGCCTTCCAGATGATCTTCCTAAAGTAATTCATTGTTTATTTAGAATGAATTTTGCTTTTTAAATCCTGTATCCATCTCACAATGTTGCATGCAAAAATCCCATGGGTCTAACAGCCTGCAGAATCCTCCACAGAGCTTAACATGCTCCTTTATTTTCAGCTAGTAATATTTCCTCCTTCCAGTTTTGCTTGTATAAAAGTGTTTTTGCCTTTCTAATCCAACTCCTCTTCCAGACTACTGTTTTGCTCTCTGGTCATCTTTTAGCTTTAATTGGTTAGCTTCCAGCAGTGGAAAAAAATGAATGTCTATACCAAGTATAAAGTTGGAAATAGTGTATCCATTTTATGGATACTCTTTTGCTCCCAGACTGCTTATCCAAACCTATTCTGTTGTTCACTGGGTAGTTTCATGTCTCCTGGATGGCTCCCCATTATGTTAGAACAATGCAGTCTTCTGGCATAACATGTCACATCATCTAATTGCTGCCCGATGTGATGGTGAATATTTTGTTAAATTATCATGTCTCTGTGGCAGTTCTGCTTGTTGCACAGGGGTTGTAACTCTCTTAAATGAACAGATGTTAATATTCCTTCTCTTTCTAGACTGTAAGTCACTATTCTGTTGCTCTCAGAGTTTGTAAACTAGTTACAAAGAGAAATAACAAAACTTCTGGGAAGCACTGCTGTTCTATGCATAAAGACTCAAAAAGAAACATGTGGGTTGGTATTCTGGAGCAATGTAGGTGTCAAATGCAGGTGCTTTTGTTCTACAAAAAGCTAGCACAAGAGTAATTACTGTAAATGGAGTGAAAAAAAGGCTCAGAATGCCAATAAATATTAAATGTGTATCTTGGAAAGTGTTTATAAAAAAAGGAAGTAAATTCTGCTTGGGGAATTGTGTGTGTTGTGTTGGTGTTTTTTTAGCAGAAATGGTTTATTTGTTACAGCCAGCCCTCAAAATATAAAGTTCTCTAGATTAGAAGTGGTTTACTGACAGAAAATGTCCTTGATTTCATCACTGCTACATTAATTTCATTAAGGCCATGTGAAGTAATTGTCTGGCAAGATTTATTTGTCATAGTCTGGTGCAGACTTACTGTGGGGAGAGCTATTCTGTGAATATAAGCAATGCCATTTACCAGGTGCTTCCATTTGCCTCAAAAAAACCCCCCCCAACCCTGATGTAAAGTCGAGATCTCAAAATGCAGGACTAAAATGTCATTTCTAGTTTGAATTCTCTCTCCATTGCTTGTCAAGCTCTTTCTTGTGTGTTGAAAACAAACAACTCGTGCTTTCTTTGAGTCATATCTTTTTGGGCAGTGGTAGAGTCCAGCAGTGCTGTTGACAGCAGTAAAGTAGATCTGTGTTCTTGCCTGTGATCTTCATGGAGAACACAGAGCCAGCCAGTTGTCCCTCAGTCAATGGCTTGCCCACCTTTGTGATGTGGCTGATCTACACTACCACACTGCCACTG